ACAAAAACAAACATATTCCTTATTTTCCAGTTATCATGTACCCCACAGTAGTTTGTTAATAGAAAATTAAGAAGGGATAGCTTAGCATTATAGTAGAAAGGATGGAGTTGCTGATAGAACTCCAAATAAGTTAAAAGAGAAAGTTTTTCATAAGGCTGTTGGTGATTTCAACACGAATTCAAGCTTATCTGGAACCTTTTCAATAAAAAACCCATTTTCTTAGGGGCTGTAAAAATACTACTAGCACTTTCATGTGATTATGGGAATCAGAGTTAGACAAAATGTTTAACACAAATTATCTCACTTAACCCTCAAAACATTGCTATTATTTGTATTATAATTCCTACTAAAAGACCAAGAGAAATGATCTTCAGCAAACTGCAATTTGTTTAATATATGCACAGAAAACATGAACTAGGATTAAACCCGGGCACTGGCTGAGGGGCCAGGTCATTGCCTTCTATTTGATGTATAATGGGACCCTTTGAAGACTTTTAAGCAGGGAAATGCTATAATTAGTAGGATTGTGTGTTTAATTAGCCCGGAATGAAGCCTGGGCTAAAAGAGAGCTGGAGTGGATGCAGGGTAGTTTACAAAGATGGCAGTAGCTTAGACCACAGGAGAAACCTAGAAACATATTTGCAATATTTAGGTCATAGTAATGACAACACTTGGTGAGCGACTAACATTTGTCCTGCTAACTGTAGCAGCTCTCCAGCACATTCTAGTCATATAGATTTACTGGTTCCTGAAATATTCTGAAAAGTCTCTTATTTACCTTTAGGGTGATTGTTGCACTAAGCAGTCTGTCTGTCTGGAACACTTTTCTCTGTAATTCCATTCTATCTTTATATCTTATCCAATAGGACTCGGCTCAAGTCTCACTCCCCGGAGAATCTTCCCTGAAATCCTTAGGTTTGGTTCCATGCTGAAGTTTTCCTTAACAAAATGCAGTTCTACTTAGCTCACACTTGTCAGCTCACTGCCAACCTGTTCACTTTACTGACCCTCACAGTTCAAGCGGGTAGGGCTGTTTGCTTTGCTCATCGTGGCCAACATGGTGGCTATGTGTGCAGAGTTCTGGGAAGCATGTTATTTGGTGAATGCCATCTACGACAGTAAGCATCTGTCTTCAAGGTCCTTAGACTTACTGTGCTGTCCCCATCTGCTGATCTTTTAAAAACATTTCTTCTTCAGCCTTGGAATCACTAACACAATATGTTCCTACTAGAAAGCTTCCATCTTCACTCCACTGACAGGAAGTCTAATTCCCAGTATAGAAGAATGTTAAGGGTGGAATGTACAGCGGGAGGAAAGGGCTGATAGAAACGCTTGGGGTATGTGAATTCCTACTCATCGGAGGAGGGAGCAGAGACACTGAAATTACTGTTCGGGGAAACAACTCAGCAATATATATCAGAAGCCTTGAGACAAATATGAATACGTTTAAAATATATTTATATGTATTTACCTATCTGAAAATACAGAAACTGAACCATTTGCTGCAATCTAACCCTACTATCATCCTGCTAAGGAACAGAGCAATGAGTCCTAATGACATACTGCTGCATCAGTGCATCACCGAACCCTCGTTAAGAGACGCTTCTTCTTGCAGTAGATGGGAATTGACAAAGAGACCCGCAGATGGACAATGTGGAGAGTGAGACTTTGGAATGAGCTTAGCCTCCCCTCGAGGTTCAGGGATCTGTGTGAAGAGGAGGTGGAAAGACTGTGAGAGCCAGAGGGTGGCGGATGACTCCAACGAAACAGCATCTTCCAGACACAACAGGGCTGCTGCACATGTGAACTCATGGAGACTTGGACCGACCTCAGTATAGGACCTGTACAAGGTCGAGCCGGACAAAAATCCCAACACTGAGAAGGGCAGTGGGCACAGGTCTGACTGCTTGTTGTGTGTTTTAATTTTTGTTGTTGCTGTTGTTTTTTAATGTGTGTGGTTCTTTTTAACAGAGAGGAAAGAACATGAAGTTGAGTGCATGTGGGGGGGGAGATAAATCTAGGAGGAGCTGGGAAAGACTATGATAAAAATATATTGTATGAAATTCTCAAAAATAATAAATAAAAAACATAAAAAAAAACATGTCTAGGGTTTGAAATGGCACATTGGACCAGCTATTTTTGTCCCCAATGAGAAACTATTGCTTTTATGTTAAAAATTGTCACGAAAGATAAAAAACAGAAACTAAATCTTCAAACTTTTGCAAAACCAATTTTACTTTTAGGAATCTCTGGTAATAACATAAAGAGAGGTGTGGTTTAGGATTATATATCAAGAGTATTCTTTATTAACATTTTTAAAAGTGGAAATAACCTAAAAGTCTAGAAATTGAGGAAGTTTAGCTTATTCAAATGGTGAGTTATTTACTATAGATTAAAATTATGTTCTGGACAATAAAGACATGAAAAATGCACAAGTTATAATCTGACATAAAAAAACTACAGCACAACCTTAATTTATTAGGATAAAAAAAGAAAGTAAATAAGAAAAGATACATGGATAGAAAATTTAAGAAGTGAAAAACTTACTAAAAGGGTATTAATGGCCATTTCTAGATGACGAGACTCCATGGGTTTATACCAGTTCTTTATGAGTTTTAGGTTTTTCTAATTTAAAATAACCATAGAAACACCATAATCTTTGTAGAAGGCATTTACTTCTCGTTCTAATGAGTAATTCTCTTTCTAATAAACCCTTAAGTGCTCCATGCTGAGAATATGTTTTGAGAAATGTATCAGGTGCTTTCATCACTGCACATGTAGAAGGAACATACTTACACAAACCGACATTATGGTCTAGTCCACTGCACACCCAGGCAGCACTGATACAATACGGTCTAACATACAGCCAACACGTTACATGCCACCTGATCACATAATCACATATCTATCTACTGAGTAGGTGCCTGTCCACCTCAGCCTTGTTTGAATTAAGCCACCTTGTATTTTCTTCAGTGTCTCTGAGTGAAGACTATGTTGAAATAGGCTTATGGAGAGGATAGTGTAAGTATTAGACTTAAGACACTGGAAATTTAATTTGGCCATTAAACCAATAAAAACTTCTCCATATCTATACAGTCACCGTTAGGAAGGTCAAACAAATTCAACTTGAGACTGTTTAAAGAAATTCAAAGAATTTTCATACACGCACACAAAATATGTATAGTTGCTTTGGGACATCAGGTAGTCTTTGGAGACTGCTCAGATAAGAGCATAAAAAAGGCAAGGGAAAGCTAGGCAAGAATTCCATGCTTGCAGCTCCAGCTTCTTGGGAAGGCTGAAGCAGGACTGCTTGGGCCCAGGAGATGATGGCCATCCTGAGCAACATGGTTGTGCTAGTTTTTGTGATAAACTTGACACAAATGAGAGAAGGAACCTTCCTTCTTTCCTTCCTTTCCCTTCCTTCCTTCCTTCCTTCCTTCCTTCCTTCCTTCCTTCCTTTCTTCCCATTTTTATTTATCTTGTTATATATTAAAATATTTTTTAAAAATTTATTTACTCACTTTATATCCTGATTGCAGCCCCCCTCCTGTCCTCCAAGCCCCCCCCCACCTTTTCTCCCATTCTCTCCTCTCCTTCTCCTCAGAGAAGGGGGAGGTCCCCCATGAAGTCACTGCAGGTCCAGGTGCATCCTCTCCCACTGAGGCCAGACATGGCCTAACAGTTTTTAGGGAAACAGGCTCCAAAGGGAGGCATCAGATTTGGAGAAGGTTCCCCTCCCCCACCTGCTCCAGCTGTCAGGGAGCCACATGAAGACCAAGTTGCACATCTGCTACATATGTGCGGGGTGCCTAGGACCAGTTCATGCTTGCTCTTTGGTTGGTGGAGAGAAATTTTAATCAAGAAAATGCCTCTATGGAATCAGCCTGTAGGCAAGTCTGTAGGACGTTTCTTTGATTGATGGCTGACGTGGGAGAGCCCAGCTCACTGTGGGCAGTGCTACTCGGGGGAAGATGGTCCTGGGTTGGTAAAGAAGGCAGGCTGAGATAGCCATGGGGAGAAAGCAAGCAGCACTCCTTCATGGCGTCCTCATCAGTTCCTGCCCTGCCCTCCTTCAATGACATTTCGCTCTGAACATATTTCACTGTGATGTGGAAATGTGAGGTGAAATAAACCCTTTCCTCTCCAAGTTACTTTTGCCATCATGGTTTATCTCAGCAGTAAAAATGCTAACTAAGACTAAGACAACAGTGAAATCATTTGTCTTAGTCAAGCTGATGTCATTTGGGAAGAGGAATTCTCTTAATTGGAAAAAAAAAAAAAAAAAGCCTTCATATGACTGGCCTAAAGGCAAGCCTGTGGAGTATTTTCTTGGTGATTAGTGTAGGAGGGCCCAGCTCACTGTGAGTGGTGTGAGCACTTGCCCTGCTTTCACTCAGTAATGGAATGTGACCTTAGAGCTATAAGCCGAGATAAGCTCTGTCTTCTCCAAGTTGCTTTTGGTCATGGTGTTTTGCCACAGAAATGGAAACCTTAACTAAGATGTCATTAAGAAAAAAAAAGTAAGAGCCTATATGGCACAGAAAGAAATACATCAGGTTACAGGTAACCTGCACTGAGCTGTACTACAGCTGGAGCCTCAAAACCGCACAAGATCAAGCAGCTCGGGGTAAGAGCTGTAACGCTTGCTTTCTACAATTACCCAAACCTTTAAGTCTTCTAAGTGACAACATTCTTGCATAAACAAGTATGGACATCATTGTCCATAGCGCACACTGGCTGGAGCTAAGTTACCACTGCACTCTCCAGGACACTCACAGAAGAGATGTGCTCAACTGTAGTTCTTTTGTTGCTTAACTATAGGACATTCTGAAATTGCATGCCTTTTTGTGGCTATGACTGAACCTCTCCTTCCTTCCCCTGGAAACAGGATAAAATATTTCATTAATACAAATTTCAAATGATTTTTTTCAGAAAATCATATATTTATATATCATTACAGTTTAAAATATATTATAAAATGAAAATGCCACACACTTGAGTTTAAATAATGCTAAAGTAGAAAACTTTTATTGACTGAAACCAAATAGACATATTCACAGGAGAAGGCAAAAAGTTTCTGATTTAAAATGTTAGATTCACACGTCATACTCATTGCTGGCTTTCATTCATGATCTGAATCTGTCCCCACACTGTGACATCCACTGTTATTAATTTGCAGAAGCATATATATATACAGAGATGATTATTAAATCATTAAAATCAGAAATATTCAAGTGGGTAGAGCAAGAGGATCACATTGTGATTAACTCATAACCGAACTGGCACCATTTTAGATTTCTTTCCTGTATTATACCCCAAGCAAAATAGAGTTGTAGGACAAATGCTAAAACATTTATGGCCTGTGGTTGCTTCCCTAATTAATCAATATAATTACTAAGGTTCCATATTCTGCTAAGGCACACATCATACCTTCTGCCTACTGATCCATGAAAACAAGATTGAGGGGAAGCGATGAAGCAGTGATCTGACAGAAAAAACAATATGGCATTTACTTTTCTTTACAGAGTTTTCTCAACAATTGCTCTGGGCTCATATGAGGAGGGAAGGTGTATTAGAAACCCCAGTACTCTCATTATGATCTTGCTTTACTGGTACTTGTCTAAGAAGTGATAAGCTATATTATCTGTAGGAATAAAGTCACTGAGTCCTCTAGAAAATATGCTCAGTCTTCATTGCGTTAGAATGAGGTGGCGGGAATGCGATGGCAAAGCAGTCGTCAAGAACATCATGTAAGGGAATCCAGCTGAGCTTGTATGGTCTCCAGCTATTTATAAAGACGGAAATAAAGACAGTGAGTTAGTGAAGTGAGCAAACTTCATATAAAATGTTTAGAAATGTGCACAGGAAACAGAAACAATGGCAGTGGGAACTCTACACAGTGAACTGACACACAGGACTTAACAGTAATGCTTGGGCTGCTTTTCTCCATATATAAAGATGTTAGGATATAGGTTTGTCATTTAATTTTTCACATTTATGAAGGAGGAAGACTTCTAAGTATTATTGTCTTAAGTGCACTCAGCTCTTTTAGTAAATTATCACTAAATAGTAAGACTTCAACATGTGGTAGTTAGCGAAATGTATTTTCCTAGGATACAAAATCAGTATTTGGAAAGAAAAATTAAATATACCCAAAGATAAATCTCTAAAATCTGGCAGCTTCCTTGTACCTTTAGGCCTAGTCATTGAAATATTTTAGGTGGTCTATATCTAATGTGCCAGTGGCTATGAGGCGTACTCAGTGCCCTGCATGAACACTAATCCTGTCTCTCTCTCTCTCTTTTTTAAATTTTATTTTATTATGTATACAATGTTCTGCCTGCATGTACATCTGAGCGCCAGAAGAGGACACCACATTTCATTATAGATGGTTGTGAGCTACCATGTGGTTGCTGGGAATTGAACTCAGGACCTCTGGAAGAACAAGCAGTGCTCTTAACCTCTGAGCCATCTCTCCAGCCCCTAATCCTGTCTCTTTAAAAACATTTTCATCTTTTTTCTGATTTAGTTTTCAGATTACCTTCATCTTGGTTTTTGCCTCTTCTTAATGTGATATATAAGGTGTTTACAGGAGTTTAAAAGAATTTGGCCCTACAATAAGGCATTCAAAAATAAAATTTCATAAAACCAAGGAAGTACTAGGAAACCACTACATACCAGAAAACATTTAAAAACACAAACCTTGTTGTAGAACTCGAACAACTCCTTATGATTGAATTCCACTAAAACCTTCTCAAGGTCCTGTAAAGAGAGAAACAAAGGGGAAAAATAATTCACTTTTAAGCAATTTACAGTACACTTTCCACTCTTCAGCCAGCCTAGGAATATGGAATTCCTAGAACTCACAAAATCAATTGGTAACATTCCACCTGAGCAAAACGTTTCAGCTTTACAGGGACATCATTCTTTAAGTTGACTTGACAAAAGTTAATAAAAATACATGCTAGCAAGAGAACAATTTAATTATCTTTTTTCAAGGCATAGATAATACATGAGATTATATTTCATCTTTCTCAGCAGTCCATTTAAAATCTAGTAAATACCATTATGCAGACTGGAGGTAGCCTATCTGATTGAACTTGTCCAGACATTAATGCCTCACTTGGGCATTGCCTCTGCCTCCAAGCACTACCCTGACAGTTACAGCCTTAACGTGCTAAGGTTGTTACCTTCTTTATTGTACAGACTCAGCAAAAGCTAATGGTTAACATGACAGTTTCAAAGTTGTCCTAGATTCATCTCACATGCTCTGAAGCAAGCATTCGGAGTGCTGCAGAGAAGCACTGTGTTGGTATCTACAGTGATCTAGTTAAGTGGAGCTAATCTACGCAGCTGAAGCAACAGTGCATGGCCTTGCTCAGTACCGCCAAAGTGGACTGACTTTGCCCAAGGTTCCCTTGAAGAAGTGAAAAGAATGGCAGAATCCTAACAGTGTGCCGCCCACGTTGATCCCTCGGCTTTGGTCATAGGACGTGGACTGAGCATCCTGACTAAAGAGGTGGGAAGCTGTTGTAACAGACATTAATTCTAGTACTTAAAACTTGGTCCATTTCACTGTAACAACTTAATTCTCAGCTTCCATGATGTTCTTGTAAAAAATCTGTTTTGATGGTTTCCATTTTTTATTAACAAAGCCAACATTTTCAAACCAAGTGATCTCCAGCTAACTCTTAGGCTGTGTTCAGAAACAGCACCTCTCTCTAAGCATACAGGACCAGCTTGCACAGTCCCTCACTTTCTCTCTTACACATCTAAGCCTGAGCGGATGGGAAGTTTATCACCTATGATGCCTGTTGCCTGTTTAGGAAGGTGTAAACTATGAAGGACGTGAACTGCATTAGAAAGATTATTCAGCTGACTGACACACATCACTTAACATGTAAAAGTCTAACCAGCAAGATCTAGTGATACTTATATTCTCCCTAAATTATAAGGGGAAATTACCCTCTCAGTTCCATGTCAAAAGCTAACAGGGAATAAGTGGGGGAAAAAAAAAACCATATAAATAACTAATCTGCATAACCTTAAACCCAGCACTGAATTAGATTGCATTTTGCTTTGCTTTGTTTCAAGGTGTTGTTTCCTAAAATGTTACACTAAGAGCACGAATATGAAGCATGATTACTAAAGCAACCCCAGCTACCGTGGCGGTGTGTGGCAGACTTGAAAACAGTAAGCCACCCTTCTTTCACAAAGGCACTGAACAAACAGAACAGACTGGAATACACCTGTGAGAGCCCTAGGTACGTTAGTGCATACCACTGGAATAGCTATTACTGAAGAAAGAAAAAAAAAAGGAAGTGAAACTGGAATTCTTCACACCAACAGTGAGATTATAAAGTGGTACAAGCGTCACAGGGAAAGTCAGGGGCTGGAGAGAAGGCTCAGTAGTTATCAACACTGCTGCTCTTCCAGCACCCACTTCAGGTGGTTCACAGCTGCCTATAACTCAAGCTCCAGTAGACAACTGCTTCTCCCTGCTTCCAAGGGCACCTGCACGCATGTGGATACCTCTCCCCAATACACAATTAAAAATAAAAATCTTAAAAAAAAAAAAAGATCATAAAGGGGCATTAAAAATTAAAGGTAGAGACTAGAGAGAGGGCTCAGCTGCTAAGTGTGACTACTGCTCTCTCAGAGGACCCAAGCTTGGTCCCAGTAGAACGGAGATTTCCAAGTTGTTTTTCTTTTTTTTTGGGGGGGGGGGATAGTATTTTCCTTATAGAAATGTCTGGTGGCTTGTAATAGCCAGAAGCTGGAAACAACCCAGATGCCCCTCAACTGAAGAATGGATGCAGAAACTGTGGTACATCTATACAATGGAGTATTACTCAGCAATGAAAAATAAGGAAATCATGAAATTTGCAGGTAAATGGTGGGACCTGGAAAGGATCATCCTGAGTGAGTTGACCCAGAAGCAAAAAGACACTCACGGTATATACTCACTCATATAAACATACAATATAGAATAAACCCACTAAAAGCTGTACATCTAAACAAACTAAGCAAAAGAGAGGACCCTAACTAAAATGTTCAATCCCCATCCTGAAAGGCAAAGAGGATGTACATCAGAAGAAAACGAAAATAGGAAACAACCTCGGAACCCGCTACAGAGGGCCTCTGAAAGCCAGAAGAAAACAGGAAACAACCTTGAAACCTGCCACAGAGGGCCTCTGAAAGCTTCTGCAGTATAGACTGTCAAAGCAGATGCTGAGCCTGATGGCCAACTGATGGGCAGAGTGAATGGAATTTTATGTAAGAAGTGGGAAATAGTAAGAGCTGGAGGGAACGGGAACTCCACAAGCAGAGCAACAGAACAAGATAATTTGAACACAGGGAACTTCCCAGAGACTCATACTCCAACCAAGGACTATTTGTGGAGATGACCTGGAACCCCTGCACAGGTGTAGCCCATGGCAGTTCAGTGTCCAAGTGGGTTCCATAGTAATGGGAAGAGGGACTGCCTCTGACATAATCTGATTGGCCTGCTCGTTGATCACTTCCCCCTGAGGGGGGAGCAGCCTTACCAGGCCACAGTAGAGGACAATGCAGCCACTTTTGATGAGAACTGATAGACTAAGATCAGAAAGAAGGAGAGGAGGACCTCCCCTATCAGTGGACTTGGGGAGTGGCATGCATGCAGAAAGGGGAGGAAGGGTGGGATCGGCAGGGGAGGAGGGAGGGGCTCATGGGAGGATACAAAATGAATAAAGTGTAATTAATAAAAAAAAATAAAAGATTTAAAAAAAAAAAAAAAGAAATGTCTGGTGGCACATGCCTTTATTCCCAGCACTCAGGGGGCAAAGACAGGCAGATCACTGTGAATGTGAGGCCAGCATGGTCTACAAAGTGAGTCCAGGACAGCCAAGGCTACAGAGAAACCCCGTCTTGAAAAACAAAACAAAACAAATTGTGTAAAGAGAATTAGATGTGCAGGTGAAAAGGATCTAGATGTCATTTAAACAGTTCCAACTGTGTATTCAAAGTGATTAAAATGGCATGTTTTTATGTCCTATTTAAAATTAAAAAAAAATGTATGTGAATGTTTTGCCTGCTTGTACTTCTGTGCACAGCGTGCGCATCTGGCACCCCTGGAGGCCAGAGCACAATCACCTCCTGGAACTGCGGTTACACACACTTGTTACTGCTAGGAATTAAAGCTGGGCACCCTGCAAGTTAAGTCAGTGCTCTACTGCTGAGCCATCTTTCCAGTCCTGTTATAGATACGTATTTTAAAACAATTAAAATATAAATACAGATATGGGTACGTGAATATAAAATTTTATTGTTTCGCTTTATTGAAATGTTTAGATATAGAAATAAAAACATTGATACCTGAAGTAAAATATGCAGAAAACCTGTATCTGTGCCTGGGCTGACTCCCAGTATACATTATCTGGACTAACTGCCAGTATGCATTGCCACTGCCACTTCCTTTCCATGACAGTGGTTTTGAGGAGACCAGGAAGAATATGAAGCCGGGAAATTTCATGTCTACGGTGACATGATGGATTTGTAAAGAACAATTGAGCTTAGAGGTCTAAGACAAAAAACAGAGCATGGCCTGGGCAGTTCCCTAAACGGTCACGTTCTGACATGGAATCCCACAGAATCCAAGAGTTTTCAATTGAAGTCTGCTTTTCAGGAGACATCCTGAGAAGAGCAAGTAAAGAGAACAGAACAGAGTTCTGCTAAACTTAGGAACTTTAGTTGGTGACTGTCAAATGAGCCACACATCTGTCCTCCCTTGTCACACTTGCTGCAGTTTCTATGACGACTTGGAGGAGGTCTGATCAAAGGCTTTCCTGTGCCCACTACATCTCCAGGAGGAAAATGTGTTCCTAATGGTGCCCGAGTTATAACTAGAAAGCTCAAGTTTGCTTACCAAACCATATCGACTGTCTTCATTCTCTTTTCACTGTCTACAGAATGTATGGAAGGTTTTGTTCATAAAATACCTTGGTGTGACTCTAATCAAGCAAGTGAAAGACCCATTCGAAAAAAACATCAAGTCTCTGAAGAAAGAAATTTAAGAAGATATCAGAAGATGGAAAGATCTTTTGGATCAATAGGAGTAACAGTGAAAATGGCCATCCTCCCAAAAGCAATCTACAGATTCAATGCAATTTCCAACAAAATACCAACACAGTTCTTTACAGACCTTGAAAGAATAATTCTCAACTTCATAAGGAAAATCAAAAACCCTAGAATTGCTAAAGTGATCTTGTACAACAACAGATCATCTGGAGGTTTCTCCATCCCTGATCTCAAACTGAACTTCAGAGCAATAGTAAAATAGGCTGGAGAGATGGCTCAGTAGTTAAGCACACTGCCTGTTCTTCCAGAGGTCCTGAGTTCAATTCCCAGCAACCACATGGTGATTCTTCCAACCATCTATGCTGGAATCTGATGTCCTCTTCTGGTGTACAGGTATATATGCAGCTAGAACACTCATACTTTAAATAAAATCTTAAAAAAATAATAATAGTAAAATAATAAAAACTGCATGGTACTGGCATAGAAACAGAATGGTGGATCAATGGAATCAGACAGAAGACCCAGAAATAAATGCACACACCCCACGGATACTTGATTTTTGACAAAGAAGCCAAAACCATTCAATGGAAAAAAGACAGCATCTTCAACAAATGGTACTGGTCTAACTGGATACTACATGTAGAAAGATGCAAATCCATATTTATCACCCCGCACAAAACTAAAAGTCCAAGTGGATCAAAGAC